CTAGATTTTGTAAAGAACTCTTAAAATTCTGTATAATTAGTCCTCCACATCTCTGGGTTCTACATCTGTGAATTCAACCTGCTGAGCATCAAAACTACTTTTTATTTTTATGCCTGTTTTATTAAATGTTTATTCAGTGAAAGTAAGTATAAAAATTTACAAATCTGAGAATTCAGTCATACATATAATAGGATGATGGGATATTCAGTTCTTAACATATACATACAGTATAGTTATTAACTACTCTTCCCCTCCGTTTGGTCCTTACTTCTGGCTCCTGTTTTATCCTGTAAGATCATTCCCTTATTGGCCTAAGGGAATATTAGTGGACAATTTTTACTGCTTTCAGGCCATTGGAGAAAATTTCAGATGTTAAAAAAGACAAGAAACAAAAAACTGGAGAATATGCATCAAAATTTTTTCCCCAGTAGCAATTAATTTGGGGGAGGGGGTTTGAGGATCGAATCCAGGGTCTTGTGCATGCTAGGCAAGCACTGTACCACTGAGTTCCATCTCCAGCAATTAGATTTTTTTGTTCTGAGTTCTTTGCCAAAAAGTATTCTTTTTAAAAAATTGTGTCTGTTCTGACATGTCTAGGTTTTTTCCTTGTGATTAGTCTCTAAACAATACAGTATAACAAATATTTATATAGTATTTACAACTTTACATTAGGTTTTATAAGTAATCTAGAGATGATTTACAGTATAGGGGAGGATACATGTAACTTCAATGCAAACACTACACTATTTTGTATAAGAGACTTAAACATCTATGGAATTTGTTATCTATAGGATGTGCTGGAAACTTCTGGAAACCAGTGCTTCCGTATATAAAGAAAATGGACAAAAGTTTTAAACATTTCACCAGAGAAGATGCATAGATGCCAAATATGCACATGATAACTCAATGTTATTAGGAAAATGCAAATTAAGCCACAGTGAAAGAATTGCTATTATGTATTTGTTAGTATGACTGAATTTGAAAAATCTGAACATTTTTCAGATGTTGCCTAGGATATATTTGTGCTCTGATGGTGGAATGTAAAATGATACAGCTGCTTTGGCAGTTTTTCACTTTTTAAAGAAAGTTGAAATCATATACCTACCATATGATCCTATTTATCCAATAAAAAGAGATGCATATATAAATATATTTATATAAAGACTTGTGAATTTCATGGCGCCTTATTTGTAATAACTAAAAACGGAAAATAATCTAGATGTCCATCAACAAGTGAATAGATAAAATAATTGTCGTGTACACATATAATGTGATATTTCTTAGTGGTACAAAGAATGAATATTGATATGCTCAGCACTATACATGGGTCTCAATACCTATGTTGAATGAAAGAGGCCAGGCTAAAAATTACTTTGTAAAGATGTAAAGCAGATAATTGGTTGTTTTAGGAGTAGAAGGTTTAAAAGGAGAGAAGGGAGAGAGGGACAACAAAGGATCTTAAGGATATTTGAGAGTGATGTGCATATTCATCTTTTGGATGATGGTGATGGTTTGTGGTTATTTTTCACATATGTCAGACCTTTTAAAATTGTGCATTTAAAATTTATGCAGTTTATTATATTTCAGTTATGTTGCAATAAAGCCATTTTTTGAAAAGTGTGATGGGGGGGCCAAATGTAATATATAATATAATATGCTCTAGAAATGTAGTATTACTAAGCAGATAGTAAGAACTGAAGCACTTAGTGAACATTAAAAAAAAAAAAAAAAAGCAAGCCCAGCATAGTGGCACACACCTATAATCCAAGCACTCTAGGAGGCTGAGGCAAGATTAGAAATTCAAGCCCAATCTGAACTGCCTCAACATAATGACTCCTTCTCAAAATTAGAAAGTGCTGGGGATACAGCACAATGTGAAGGCCCTAGGTTCAGTCCCCAATTCTGGGAAAAAAATTACCAAGTGACTATTTGGAAACAATTTTATTCTTTGTTACTGTTTTTAATTCACAATTTTCTGTTGATTACTCTATGAAACATCATGTGGCTTTTACTAGTATATGCTACTATTATGCAAGCATGAGGTTTAACACAAATTGAATGTTTCTTTATGATGTCAAACTTACGTTCATGCTCCCTTAGCCATTTTCAGGATCTGCTTGGAAGTTTTGTGATCTAGTTTTTACATAAAATTGTTGGTTATTACCAGAACACATGTTCTATTAGTATTTATAATTTCACACTGACAAGAGCATTACCAAAGGCAAATGTAGATGACATTTAGGAATTTGTTTTGAATTATCCTTGTTCTCTTCTGAACATTATTTTTGTCTTCCTTAGTACTTGGAAGGTACATGGGTGTCCAGTGAATTTTTTTATGAATAAATATTGTCTTAAGCAAGGCAAATTAGGCATTATGGTCATGAAAATAAATTTCAAATCCTTCAGTTTTTTGAGGTACTTCCAGCAACATATCATTGCTGCATATTGAAACAGTGAGAAATGCTGGTGTACATTTTGAAGTCAAAGACATTTTTGTACTAACTTGTTTCCGATAAAACTAACAGTAACAATATACTGGGAGTATTAATTTGATGCCAGTGAATTATATTTATGTAATTGTTAGATTGGTATAGCATTTAATATTTCAGTAACTGTTGACATAAATACATCACCTTGTCTCTTGTTCCTAATTATACAATATTATAGGAAGTGGACCAGTCTAATTAAAAAGAGGGGGTTTAGCGCCTCAATGATAAGTCATCTTAATTAAGATCAAAGAGTTCTTAAGTTCTTTTTGAGAAAATAGCAAAGTGAAAATGGTTCCTTGTCATTTTATACTTGGCTTGATTAGATTGGTTAGTAGAAATGAGGCAGCAAATTAAATTGCTTTTGCATTTCCAAAACCCTTAAGATAGAAAAGAGAGAGGTAGATAAACATGCCATGTGCATATTATTGCCAAGGAAATCTAATTGAGACTTTAGTAATATCTTTGAGTAGAAGAACTATCTTCAGTTGTAGATTAGATAATGAATATAATATAGTCTCAAATAACTAGAGACAGAATGAAGTTGATCTTACATAAGTTGTGCATTATTTATCATGTGTGATAAAGCAACAGCATTTGCCTGATGCTTTTTTACCATCTACATGATACTCTGTATTCCAAGTGTGTGGGTATATTGGTCCTAAGTCAAATTTTTTACAGTGAGAGTTTTGGTATATCCACAGACTTTAACTATAGAAAGTGAAGAAACAAACAGAATGTTGAAACTGTGAGAAATACAGGGATTTGTCCAGTATAACTTTGTTACAAAATCATTATAAGTGATTCTAGAAGAGGAAATCCAGCTCACCAAGAAAACACTGAATACATATGTTAATTTTTAGTTTCTAGTAGGAACAAAGTCAAAATATAAAGAATAAAAATGGAAGCTAGAAATACTGAAGTCTTGAGTTTTCCTTCTAGGAATCCTTTGTAGACCATCTGTGGTTTGGATCAAGACACCATATGTTGGTCCTTTTCAACATTCTGTCCCTTGCATCTGGCATATAGTGCATGGAGTTAGAAGATGTTAAATAAAAGATGTTTGTATTTGATCTTTTTTTTTTTCTTCACTGACCCAGTTGGGATCAGTTTCCTACTTCTATTTGTATCTTTTTTTTTATGGCTTGATCCTTGCTTACAGCTGTAAAGCTCAGCCTCTTTACCCAGCCTTGGTACTAGAAGGACTTGACTAACCAGTAGTGGGGCCCTTGGAGCAGCTGTCCAGGGTCCCATTGCAGGAACTTATTCTTGTGTGGACTGTTAACATTGAGCTTCTGCCCCTTGGTCACAGTAGGAGGAGTGGAAATTTAAATCCATACATCCCAGGGATTTAGTTTAGTGGTGCCACCGCCTGCCTCACAAGCACAAGGTCCTGAGTTCAACCCCCAGTACCAAAGAAGAAAAAATTCACATATCCCAGATTGCTTTTAGAGTGAGTGGTTGGGGGTACCTAACAGGTGTGAGTGACCTGAATTAGCAAGATGTGATGACAACTGGGCAAGGTCTTTCCCACCCATGGCACAGCTACTTATCATTGCCACCAGTCCTCACAACCACCCATTAGAAATTGATTTCTTTTTCGCATTCAAATTCCTAGTTTGAGAAGTGATGTCAGAGTCACATGCTAGGAGTGGAAGATACTAGGATACTGAGATTTTTAAGACATTGCCTAAATGTATTGTTTTTGAATCACCAACTAATAGGTATATAAAGCTTTGCCTTGAATTAAATAAAATGTAAGCGATTTGGGCCAGGGATTTAGCTCAGTGGTTGCACCGCCTGCCTTGCAAGCACAAGGACCCGAGTTTGATCTCTGGTACCAAAAAAACAGTAACCAATTTATCAGATCTGATCTCTGGCCTAGATTTTCCTCACCCTGTTGTATGTTTCTGTTAGTTTTTTTGTGGTGATGGGGATCGAACTCTAGGTCTTGTGCATGCTAGGCTGCCACTCTATCACTAAGCCACACCTACAGCTTCGTGTTTGATGTTTTTGAAAGCTCTAGTAAAGGTAGTCCTGGCTTGGATTCAGATGGCTTGCTTCTATTTATAGACATGTTTTCATGGGGAGTTGTATTCCTAGAAGTTACCGCATATATCAAATATGCCTCAAATGGAGTGTATAGAATATGCAAACCTTATATTAGGTTTATAATAGAATTTGTAGGATTTCTGAGGGAGCACAGAAGTATGTAGGTAATTTAGCACTCGAGTCCTGTTTTAAGCTTCTGTGTTGCAGAAAATTTCAGGTAGTCTTACTTTAGGGCCATTCCCTCTTTCCACCAATCCCACCACTCCCTTCACCCCCACATACTTACAAGGCTTTTGCTGTTTTGGCAAACCAGCTTACCCTTTTAATCAAATTGGTAAAGAGTGGAGTGTGTGTGTGTGTGTGTGTGTGTGTGTGTGTGTGTGTGTGTGTATGTATGTACCCCCACCCCCACCCTATCTTATTTCACATCTTATGTTGATCATTTCCCACCTGTATTTCCAGGTAGCCAAAAGCCAGCAAAATGTCACCAGTAGCACCGAGGTAAAAGTCCTGAGGAATTAATGGCTCTGAAAGAGGGAATTGGGTGTGTGGAGATTTGACAAGGGGATTCTCAAAGGTATGTGCTGTCCAAAGAATATGTGGATGGATACAAGACCCAACCATGGACATGTGAATATTCAGAAAGCCAAAGGATAGACAGTAGGACTGGACTATAGGGATTAGCTCTTTTTGTATACTTACAACTATTCATACATTTCTTTGGCTTTGGCATTCTCCATGCTTAAGGGGAGTCTAGTTAAGTGACCAATTGCAGTTGTGTCATACCTGAGAATATATGGAGAGAGTGTAACAGCTGCCTTTTTTTCCCCACTGTGGAATTAGGGATTGAACCCAGGACCTTTGCATAGAGCTACATCCCCAGCCTCTGACCCCTTTTTTATTGTGAGCAGAGTCTAACTTGCCCATGTTTGGCCTTGAACTTGTGATCGTCTTCCCTCAGCCTCCCAGAGCACTAGAATTACAAGCATGTGTCATTATTCTTGGTGAGAGCTACCTTTAAAGAAAGTGTGATAAAATATGCATAAGAAATTTATCATATTAGCCATTAGTATGGTTCAGTCACACTGTTATGCTACCAACATCACCAGCTGTCAACAGAGAGCTTTGTTTTATGATGTTATAGAAAGATGAGAAACTTTCCTTTAGTAGAAGAGTGTTGTCCAGTAGGACTTTCTGCAATGATGGAAATCACTGCCCAGAACTGTGGCTACTAGCCATATATGACTCTTGAGCATTTGGAATGTGGCTATAAGGAACTGAATTTTTAAAATTATATTTAATTTTAATGTTTAAATTTAGAATTAAGTAGTCACTGTAGGAGAGGATTAACAAGTCTGTGTTGGGGGAGTGGCACTGGGAGATCAAACCCATGCTCTCTCATATGGTAGGCAAATTCTTTACTACCAAGATACATCCTCAGACCTACCACTTCTTTAAGGACCCCAATGAGACCGTAGAACTCTGAGTTGCTGGTAGGCAGGGCTCTGATACTGCCAAAGGAGTGAGAGTTTGACACTGTGGTCAACTAGAATTGCATTTTTCTATAGAAATAATAAAATTCGCATTGACTGTGTTATGTATCTGCATTAGTTTTATACTTCTGATTGGCACAGTGGTCTCCGTGACGTGTGTGTGTGTGTGATCTGAGAACCTAACCACTCTGTATATAACATTGTTTTTGATGGTAAAAGCCTCATTTATACCCTAAACCAGTTGATTTATCACCTTTGGACATCAGAATTCCCTCCGCAGGGGTGTATAGCATATTGTCTATAAGGCTCAGTGCATGTTGACTCTTTAACTGGTGTGCCAGTGATGGTTTAATCAGCGAAGGTTTAAGTAGGTGTTTTGTGTGCTGACCAGTCAGAGAATGTTTTTGCTGTACTTGTCATGAGACAACATCTTAAAATATTTCCTCTTCTCTGCTCTGATTCCTATCTGTTACCCATCCTTTCAGGACCATAAGCACTTGAAATAGATTGTCTCCTGGAGTCTGCAGCAGTTGACCTCTCTTTAAGCCTACAAATCTTGAAGAAGTGAGCATTTCCTGTGGTTTTCATTTATTCATAATGGTATGTTTGCAGGAATGGTGAAGTAGTCTGATTCTGGGGACCACTGGTGGTCTGTTCATTGAGTGATTTTGCTTTCCCTAATGATGCCATTATTCCTGCTTTATCAGTGTTTATTACTACAATTATTCATATATAAAGTAACTTTGTCTAGTGCCTATTATATGAAGAATTTATCACATATTTCTTTTATATATAGTTTTCTAGCCCTCACAACATTCCACAATTTTATTTCTTCCAAATGAGAAAAGCCATGCGTGTCCTTGATTATTATTGCTATTTTACAAACTTACTACATTTTATAACAAAAATGTGAATAGTCCTCAGTTTACAGAATGTGGGTGAGCACAGAAGAGAAGAACAGGACAAAGGGCCTCAAGGCCTGTTAGGCCCCTGGTCCTTAGGAGTAGAGAAGTTAGGAATTGCTTTTTATGTTCTTTATTTTAATATACCCCCTTTGATGAATTCTCCAGCTCCATCTGTATTATTGACTGTCAGAGGTCTTGACATTCATCGTAGTCCATTGTGTGCCACTATAATAGAACATGTAAAACTGAGTAATTTATAATGAGCAGAAATGTATTGACTCACAGTTCTGGAAGCTGTGAAGTCCAGTATCAAAATGCTGGCATCTAGTGAGGGCCTTCTTGCTGCATCATCATGTGGCAGAAGGTGAGAGGGCCAGAGAGAGCAAAAGGGGGACATAGTCGGGGTGGGGATTTAGCTCAGTGGTGCTGCTGCCTCCCTCGAAAGCACAAGGTCCTGAGTTTGATCCCCAATACCAAAAAGGCGGGCGGGGGGGGGGCATGGTCTATTTAGTGCCGTATTTTTTTATATTTTTATACTGTTTTGTTGATGATTTTATGGAGCCATTTTTATAATGGCTCCGAAGCATGATGCTAATGTGTACTAGTGTTCCTGAGCATGAGGAGGCTATGATGTGCTCCATGCAGGAAATACTTCAGCAGATAAGGTTTGTTTAATTATAGTGACGTTGACTATAGGTTCAGTGTTAATGATTCAGCAATATACAGTATATTGAGTGAGGTGTCTTTAAACAGAAACACACATGAAATAACATTATATATTGATTGGTTGACAGAAATGATTTGAGCAGAGGTTTGCAGGAATCTAACCCTGTATTTCCTCCCAGAACAATAATAAATATTTGCTAATTGGCTAATGGTAAAGTATTTGCTGTAGGAGGAATTGTTAAAATATTTATAATGACTATAAAACAGCCACCACAAACAAGAATCAACTTTACTTGCAAATTATATTAAATGCAAAGAAAAAAACATGGCGCTATGATGGAGATTAGTTGGTGGAGAGCAAAGAAATCTTGAGATCTTTGCTTTAGTTTGGAACTCTTGGGTGGTAACATTGAAATTGAGATACATGGAACAAATCAGAAAAAAAACGTTTCAGGCATAAGGAATGACTCTAAAACTGAAGGGAGTTTGATTTTTTTTTTTTTTTGGTACCAGGGATAGAACTCGGGTCCTTGCACTTGCGCAGCAGGCGGCGAAACCACTGAGCTAAATCCCCGGCCTGAGTTTGATATTTTTGAGGAAATGAAAGAGAAACAGTTGGCCGAAAGAGGATAGCCCAGGTTGGAGTTGGACAACAAAGCAGAACTTGATTGTGCTACCTTTTGGAGACTGTATTGAGTTTAGTTTTGGAATATGTAATGAGAAGTCATTGGAAGATTTTGTGCTGGGAGTGAGGTGATCTGCTTTAGATTTTCAAAAGATAAAGATAATTCTGTCTTCTGTGAGGGAACTGATCTGAAGAGTGCAAGAGGTAAAACGAAAAATGAATTAAGAGGCATGGCTGTCATATTTAATAATTGTCATGTCTGCCTGTATTACCTCATTCACCATCTTTGCCTGATCTGCTTCCATAACTTTGTACTGATTATTGTGCCTAATCCTTGCCTTGCTGTGACTCCAGAGAGATGTGATCCACTTAAGTCACCATTTTAGCATTATGCTGCCCTCCTTAAAATTGTCATGACTCCCCAGACCTTCTAATGGCCTGGTGTCTTCCTGCCTTTGAAGCACTATCTCTCACTATGCTTTGCCTAGTGCTTAGGACCTCATGTGATGTACTTTTTCCCATCTCCTCACACATCAGTTGTTTGGGCATGTATATCTTTCTTTGCTCTTGATCCTTTGTACTTAACCATCCTTTGCAGGCTGTGTGCTCCTGGTATATTGTCCCATGATATCCAAAGCATATACTTTATGCTTAATCATTTTGTATCATTATCAGCTGTGTAGTAGGCAGCCCCTCGACTTACTTTCTCACAATTAGTCGATTTTGTGTGTGTGTGTGCACGCGCGCGCATGTGTTTTAAAGAATTTTTTTAGTCCCCACCACCTAGTATTATTTCTGGATTATGGTAAAGATATTATAAAAGTTTGTTGAATGGATCTATTAATGAATATTTGCTCTTTTTTAAAACCAGAATTAGGGTGATACTTTTCCTGTAAAACATTTTTGGTAGATGGAATTAAAAGGATAATGAGGAATTACAGAGATAAAACCAGTATCTCAAAACATATGTTTATTTATTTATTCTAAAAATGTGTATTCAGTACCAGGAGAGATGGTCTAACAATGCAGTATAAAGTAGTGAACAAAACAAAATCTTTGGACTATAGTTGTGCGTATATGTGTTACCTATACCTGTATTTCCATTTTCATCTAATAGATTTATAATATATATTATATAGAGACTTTAAATTCTAGAATAGTTTGTTACAGAAAACTTGGAAAGATAGTTTCACACTTTTTCTGTTATTAACATCTTACATTAATGTGATGTTCTAGTCAGTGAACCAGTATTGATAAATTATTATCAGTTGACGTCTACTCTTTATTCAGATATCCTTTTTCTGTCCAGGATCCCATCCATGATACAGTTTTATATTTAGTCATCCTATTTTTTGTTGTTGTTGTTTTTGATTATTTTAACAGTTGTAAGTAGTACTGGTGGGGCATTGCATAGGATGGAAGATGTCCCTCAATTTGGTTTGTCTGTCATTTTTCTTGTTGCTTAGATGGGGATTATGGGTTCCTGGGAGTAAGACCACAGAAGTAAAGTACATTTCTTATCACATCCTAGCAATAGTATGTGATATCATTGTAAATTATCACTATTGATACCCTGGTCATTTGGCTATGGTGTTGTTTGTGGGGGTTGGGAGATTGGCACTATGAAGTACTCTTCCCCACTTTCCTTTTTGGACTAAGTCCACACATAAGGGGTGAAGAGTTTGCTTCACCTTTTTAAGAAGGCAGTATTTACATAAATTATTTGAAATTCTTCTATAGAGTTTACTTATCTGCTTCTTCCCATTTACTTAGTTGGCTATTTATTTATATCGGTATGGGTTTATGGATACTTATTATATACTTTGGATTAGAATCCAACCCTATTTTGTTGCCCAGATTGTTCTAGCTTTGGGTGTTCTTTGAGTTG